ACGAGATTGAGAGAGATCTTGAGAGAGAGACTGAGAGATGACGCAGATTGATGAGAGAGAGAGAGATGCAGATGATGTCAGAGAGAGAAAAGAGAGGCAGAGATGAGAGACCTGGCGACCGACGATGAGAAGCAAGACGATTGAGAGAGAGAGAAAGTGAGAAGAGAGCACTATGAGAATGAGAAAGTCAGAGCGAATGATGAGAATGACCAGACAGTACCCAATGCCGACAGACAGACAGACAGACAGACAATGATAGAAAGATTGTATATGTGCCAGATGGCACACTTAGTCGGCTGACAAGCGATCGAATGAGTGCTCTTCTAACACTACGCTCACTCACTAACGCTCGCCGAGGAAATCAATTTCTCTTCGCATCGGCAGCCTGAGACATGTTCGCCGTGATTACGGAGGAGGACGGGAACGAGCAGTGGTGCGAGGGCGGGGCGCGTAAGGTTTGCCTCGGTGTTTGTGAGCGGTGGGAGTTTGGATGGGTGCAAACGTTTCAGCAATAGGTGGGGGGGGCACTCGGGGAAGGAAGGGTGGGCGGAACACGTGCCTAGTGGCGCCCCTACGTGGCCCGCCCCAGTTAGTGATGCCACTCCTCGCATGGTACCCTAGTGTAGTGCCCTGTGTGTGTGGCGCCCCCGGGTGGTGCGGCCGCCGCTCGTTTAAACTCGTAGGCCGTTAAATTTGACTTTACAGTCTCACGAATTTTCTCTTATCTCTTATCTGCCTCGCATTTTCATTTTTCCCTCTCCCCCCACTTCATCGCCTCCCACCTTCCGCCTGCTCTATTGCTCCGCCCTCCGTGTAAAATTTTGTTTTTTGAAAAAAAATTGCCATTTATTTTACATTTAATACGTAAGTAACTAACCGGGACTAAACGGTATCCAATTAAAATTCCTGCATAGAATTTGCGTTTCATCAACTAGTTAAAATTCCTAAGAAACTCTTGCGACGATTTTTATATTAATGTCCACATTAATGTCGTTGCTATGGGCTATGTATGAGTCACGCCAGCTGTATTTCACAGTCGAACAATAATAGGCTCAAAACACGAAGGTATAATGCCTCATCAATCATTAACCATAAAAAGTGCTGAGCAGAATTACTTATATTTTGTGAAAATTAGTGGAAATATTTTTTTTTATTTTTTACTATTTTACCGGTGTACGTAATCACTTTTCAAGTCCAGCGGGTCGCTGAGTGATGAGCTATTGAAGATGGCGCGGGCCGGCTGTCGCTCACTCTGTTAAATTGCATCGCCTGAGTGCTGCTGTGAAATAGTAACGTAACTGAAAACCTATCGTCGTTTACGGTGTTGAGACAGACAGTGAGGCACGTGGGCGAGAAGAGGGGGTGGATGGGGGGAGAAGAGCCCGGGGAGAGGCGGCCGGAAGAGAGAGGGGGTGCAGAGGGGGGCAGAGAGGCGAGAGAATGTGAATACTCTCTTCGCTCTCCTCTCTCCTCTCCTCTCTTCTCTCCTCGTCTCTCTTCTCTTCACTCTCTCTCTCTTCTCTCTCTCTCTCTTTCGGTCTCTCTTGCTTGCCCGCGCTGTCGTCTCACTCTCTGTCTCTCTTTCTCTCTCTCTCTCTCACTCGCTCTCTCTCGCTCTCTGTCTCTCTCTATATCACTCTCTTTCTCTCTCTCTCTCTCGCTCTCTCTCGTCCCCCCCCCCCTCGATATACATATCTTCCATTTCTATTCATCTCTCAGCCCGACGTCTATTCTTGGTCGGTAGATTCTGCTGTGCAGTACTGTCATCATCGTTGTCGTCAACGTTAACTGATAGTTGAGGATCAGCCAGTGCAGATCAACCATCCCCTCCTCTTCCTCCCCTCTTCCTTCCCTCCTCTTCCTTCCTTCCTCTTCCTCCTCTCCTCTTCCTTTCCTCTTCTTCTTACCCTTCTCTTCCTCCCCTCTTCCTTCCCTCCTCTTCCTCCTCTCTTCTTCCTCCCCTCCTCTTCCTCCCCTTTTCTTCCTCCCCTCCTCTTCCTCCCCTCTTCCTCTTCTCCTCTTCCTCCCCTCTTCCTCTTCTCCTCTTCCTCCCCTCCTCTTCCTC